CCGCGTTTTGAGAACATGTTTTTCCAAAGGCACACGTGGCCCCTGTGGAGCCCTTGTGTCATTTTTGATAGCTGTGGCTTGATTTTTCACTGTAAATCAATAGATACCATGGACTGCCCCTCACATACCGTCCATGCTATGCTCAGCATTCCGGGGTGCAGACAGTTAGAAGATGCATTCCTGGTTTGGAAGGAATGGTGGAGAAGACAAGGCCTCTGCTTGTCGAATGGAGAGGATGTAAGATGTGAAGATCAATTCCGGACCGTGGGAAAAGAGAGGGAACACCATGACTCCGGCCGGTGGCCAGGGAGGGCCCATCAAAAGAAAGTGCAAGTCAGCAGCTTGGGAGCGGGAGTTGCTTTTTCTCTCTCCTTCAATTTCCAACGAACTGGACATCCATCACCGTAAAAAGTGCCGCGCACGGCAGGCCGGACACCGAGAGATCCACCCACCTGTGCACCTGAGAGTGGGTGGCGTGGACCACGGGAGTGGCAGCGAGAGGGCAGCACCATGGGCAGGCAGGACCTTTGTGGCAGAGGATGTGGAGGGTGAAGGTGGGGAGGGGGGTCGGCCCAGCCCTGGGTCTGCAGTTGAAGGGATCTCTGCTCTCTGAGGCGAGACCACAGTGACGGGGTGAGGGGGTGGGGGTGCAGGGAAAGCCATGGGGAGTGGGCAGGAGAGAGAACTGAAGGAAAGGGCCCAGGATTCCGGCAAGAGTTCTGCCGCGAACCTCTGGGGACCCCAACCCAACTTGAGCCTCTCTCTGTCGGGCCAGGAGCACTAAAGCCCCAAGTGCCGAGTACACAGTTCTCCCCGCTCTGCTCCCGCCCTTGTGTTTTCTCTTTTGGCAGCTTTGTTAAAATGCATGTACTCTCAACCTTAGCTCAGGTAGGACAAACCAAAAACATGGCCGTATCCCCACCTTGTGGACAATGAAAGGAAGCGTCTAATTGCCAACCTGTTGCACTGTTAGAATCAACCAGGCCTTGTCTCAATGAGAACGGTGTTTGCTGCTTCAGATGCAGTGGGGATGCACTTTTCATCAAACACCATGAAAAGCACGCAGTGCAGGATCACAGAAGGAAATAGCCATTTCCCAGCAGCCAGCTCCACCCGAAAAGCATCGAACTGGTCGGGAAATCCAGAGCACTGTTGGGAAGAAATTCGGCCAGCTGCAGAGAGCTCGGAGGGCAGTGCCATGCTCTCAGGAGTGAAGTTAAAGACAGAAGGAAGACTTCACCAAAGAGATTAAAATTCCAAAAAATAACCGCACTAACTCTGGAACTAAAGAATTCAATGAATGAGATACAGCAGGCGTTGGAAATGTAGCAGGTCAGATGGAAGAGATGGTTAATGACGTGCGAGATGGGAATCTAGAAGTGATGAAGGTTGAAGGAAAGCGAGAACTCCGATTTTTTAAAAGTGTATAAGCCCTCTGAGCGCCATCGGGTACCACACAGAAAGCCAACCGAAGAGGATGGGTGATCCAGGAAGGGGCAGTTAGCGTTACTTTGCTACCAAAAGAGAGAAGGCTACCACAGGGAAAGAAAACTGCAGGCCAATATCCTTGATGAATGTAGATGCAAAAATTCTCAACAAATATTAGCTAATTATATGTTAAAAAGATTACATCCTATGACCAAGTGGAATTTATCCCTGGAATGCAGAAAAAGCATTTGAAAAATACAGCGTCCTTTTATAATAAAAACCCTTAGCAGATTGGGTATAGAAGGAACATACCTTAACATAGTGAAGGCCATATACAACAACTCACAGCTAACATTATACTCACTGGAGAAAAATTGAAAGTGTTTTCTCTAAGTTCAGTAACAACAGTCAATAAAATACTGGGAGTCCTAGCTAGAGCAATTAGGCAAGACAACAAAATAAAAGGCATCCAATTTGGAAAAGACAAGGTAAAATTGGTGCTATTAGCTATGATATGAACTTGTATGTAGGAAATCCCAGAGTCAGGAAGCTGTTGGAATTATAGTTTCAGTAAAGTGATGGATACAAAATCAACATGTGGAAATCAGTTGCTTTCCTTTTTACTAAAGACAAAGCACCTGAAAAAGAAATGATAGCATCCAAACAATAAAATGCTTAGGAATAAATTTAACCACGGAAGTGAGAGATCTGTACAAGGAGAACTACAAGACTTTGCTGAAAGAAATTGGAGACACAGCAAATGGAAAGACATCCCATGTTCATGGGTAGGAAAAATTAATATTGTTAACCAGCCATGCTATCCAAAGCTGTCTACAGAGTCAGTGCCATACCCATCAAAGGCATTCTTTCCAGAAATTAACAATCCTAGAATTCTTGTGGAGTCACAAAAGACCCCTCATAGCCAAAGCAATTCTGAGGGGGAAAAAGACATGCAGAGATATCACACTTCCAGATTTCAAACTATACTACAGAGTTACAGTCATAAAAACAGTGTGACACAGGCACACAAATAGACACATGGACCAATGGGACAGAACAGAGAGCCCAAAGTCAAATCCTGGTGTGTATGTTCAGTTAACATCTGACAAGGGAGCCGAGAGTGCCTGACAGAACAAGGAAAGTTCCTCTAACAGACTGCTGGGCAAATTGGAGAAACACGTGCAGAACAGTGAGAGGGGACCCTGCCTAACACACTCAGAAAAATTAACTCAGAACGGGCCAGTACTTAAACATAAGACCTGGTACCATTACACTCCTGGGGGAAGACGGGGAAGGAGCTCACTGATACTATGCTTGGCAGTGATTTTTTTATATATATGACGCCAAAAGCATGGACAACAGCAAATATTAACAACTGGAATACATCCAACCCCAGAGCTTCTGCACAGGCACATCAAAGAGACAAGACGAAAAGATGGCCTACGGAACAGCAGAACATGCTACAAACCCTGTGTCACTAAGAGGTTAATGTCAAGAAAGTATGAAGAACTCAGCAACAACAAAAAGCAGTCTGAGCTAAAAATGGGCAGAAGAACTAAACGGACATTTCTCCAAGGAGGAGACACGAATGGCCAACACGCACATGAGATGATGCTCGACGTCACTAACCATCGCGGACAAGCAAACCAGAGCCACAGTAACGAGGTGGCGCCTCCCACCTGTTAGGGTGGGTAACATCTTTCTTGATGCGGATCACTGTCCCACGTCTTGGCAGAGAAGATTCTTTGGGTAGATTTTAAATCTACATTTTGTGACTGTTTTCTTTGTCATCTGGTCCAGTCAGTGCCCCTCGGGCTGCCCTGGCCTAGGCCTCGTGTTGGTGCCACAGTTCGGTGTCCTGACCTCTGTGTTCTTCTCCGAGTGGAGACCTTTCTCCCCTCCTGCTTTGCTTTGCTCAGCTTCTTCTCGCCCGTCGCCTGGTAACACATCAGGACTGGTGTTTGGAGGCTGAATATTTCAGCAGACCTCAGTCTGCCGTCGTGTATCATTGGATAAAGGTTAAGCTGGACCTCACTGTGTACCTGTGCTGCTATTTTAGACACTGAAATTTTCCTGCTCCTTATATTTATGCTGCACTCGACTCTGACACACATAGGATGGGATTTCGCGGGGAAGGAAAATCCATTGCCATTTGGTATGACTTGGAGAACTCATGTTATATAAATATTTTAATTGATTTCAGAGAGGAAGGGAGAGGGAAGCTTCCACGTTGCTGGTGGAAACGTCGATCAACCTCCGTGGGAAGCAGTACGGAAGCTGATCGAAAATTAAAAATCTGTCATACAGTTCAGCCGTTCAACTTCCGCTATGTACCCGAAGGAAATGAAAACAGGGATCTGGCCAGATAGCTGCACTCCCATGTTTATCGCAGCATTGTCACGATAGCAGGACACGGAAACAACCGAATGCCCGTCAGCCGGTGGATTTACAGTGTGGTCTGTGCACAGTCGGACGTTATTCAGCAAAGAGGAAGGAAGATGTCCTCCCGCCTGCAACAGCGTGGTGGACCGACGTGGAGGGTGTTTAAGGGCACAGACTTCTCATGAGTGTAAATAAGCCGTGGAGATGTGATGCACAGTATGGTGAACACTCACAGGAACATGGCTCTCTCTTGTGGAAGGTGATCAATAGCTCTACTCGGGCGATAATGTGACATTTTGTAAACAGGTCAGAGTACACACTGGACTCCTTAGATCAGTGATGGCGAACCTATGACACGCGTCTCAAGCACGGAACCCAGGCACGGGTGATCTGGTTCATAGCTTGATGTTCAACCATTGAGCCACACTGGCTGGGCATCTTGATTTTATTAACATTTAAAACCTACAAGCTTAAAGAACCTAGTAAAAAAATTCTAGTGCTCCTTACTCAAGAGAAATAAGTATGCAACGTAAGAATAAAATGTTACATCTTGAACATTAGAAATTGAGTGGTGATTCACACCAGTGGAACACTAAATGGTCATTGTGTGCAGCGTTATGTACGGGGTGCTGAGCCAACAGGCACGTCGGGCGTTAGGTTTTGGGGTTTACCTTTCTTACAAGGGCAGGCTACACTTTAAAGAACAGTAAGAAGGGACACTTTAGAACTTACTGTGGAGGGGCAAGGAGCAACAAAGAGAGAGAGCCCTTCATCAGCTCCATGGACCGAAGCCAGTGCCGGCGCAGTAACTGGGGAATTAGGGAACATTGAACGTCCCTCTTCGGGGCGGATGCGATGCCCGAGTGGAAACAGACGATCTGTAAACGGAAGTGACTCAGAGAGAGCGTGCGCAGGGAGAGCTGGGGTGAGCATCATTCCAAACGCAGAGGAAGGAAGCCAGTCGGACCGCAAGCTCATGGTCTGTCTTTCTTATTTTGAAACTAGAGGCCCGATGCACGAAGATTTGTGCAAGAATATGCAGTGTTACTTGTCAGATGTACTCAATACACGAATACATAAAAGGAAGTACATGTTTCCCAACAGAAGTGGTTCGAGAAAAGCAGAGGGAGAGGCCGTTAGGGGTCGGGGGGAGTCCTGCCCTCAGCCTGTCCCTCGTGCTGTCCTTGCAGATACCTGAGGAGCTGCCGCACCCCAGCTCTGAAGAGAAAGTGTATCTCCTGCACAAATACCACTTCGTCCTCGGAAGACGACCGGCAGGCCCACAAGGCAGGCGATGCCCACGCCTTGCGAGGTAGCGGGAACACCCTTCGTACTTGGATAAAAAGTTACGGCAAAGCCACCCTTGCCCTCTGTTTCTCTTTAATTTTCCAACTTCCAATATTTCATCGTAATCACACATGATCCGAGCTCCACGGTCCTCTTTATGGCCTGGAGGTTGTTATTTATGTTATAAATGTCTGTAAGCCATTTGGTCTCTAACATAAACTTCCTGTCGGGAGTTTTTTTCACTGTCGGTCTCTCTCACATCCCCAGCTGCGTCTCGGATCCCATCGGTCCCTTCACCAGACGTGCCAGCTCACGGACGGTCCTCCGGTGCCGAGGGCGGAGCTGCGCGGACCGAGGCCAGGGCGGCGCCGAGCCTGGGCTCCGGCATCAGCCAGTGCAGCTACAGCAGCACCATGGTCCACGCCCCACCCCCAGAGCCAGGTACCACGTCACCTTTGACCTCAGATACACTCCACATGGATACGCTACTGTGAGAAGGTCGTTTGTACCGTTTACTTAGTAGTAACTTCTCAGCTTTTGGAAGTGTCATGCTGGTTATCTGTGTACATACATTTTGGACTGTATTTCTTACGTCCCTCAACTAGAGTTGCTAATGCAGCTTAGGCCACGTTGTTTACCTGGAAAGAGGTTCCAAACTTGGACTGTCGTTGGCCTAAATAGATCATACGTATACGCAGGGAGTTCCTTGTGGGTCTGACCACGCTCCTTTAATAGTATAATGACTTGGTCAATTACTTGGGTGATGTCTTCTTCTTATTCCTTTTTATGGCCTCCTATTCTTTGACTTTTTTGTTACTCATAACAATTTGGTGGGTGAAGAAATAGTGACGTGTTAAATCAGGTTTTCGCATGAGCTCTAATTTATCTTCGCTAGTTCCATGGTGAGTTAGTCAGCACGTGCTGAGCTGACCGTGTACACTCCCTGTCCTTAGTCCGTCGCAGAGATTTAGCTCCTCAGAGCTCACACCCCCTTGGAGATGGAGAGCACTGTGGTTGGTGGGAAAGACCGGAGACGGAACTGCTGTGCGATTAGGTGGCGTTGGTAATGAGCCAAAGATCGCCTGTTCATTTTTAAACATGTGAATACATTACAGATTAAAAACTAAAAGATAAAAAAAGAAACATTTTAAAGAGTTCAGGGAGATAGATATTTACAATAAAAGCAAGATTTTAATCCTATATAATAAAACCCTAATATGCAAATTGACCAAACGGTGGAATGACTGGCGGAATGACCAGTCGCTATGATGCACACTGACCACCAAGGGGCAGGTGCTCAGTGGAGCTGCCCCCTGGTGGTCAGTGCGCTCCCACAGCGGGAGTGCCGCTCAGCCAGAAGCCGGGCCCATGGCTGGCGAGGGCAGCAGCGGTGCGGGAGCCTCTCCCACCTCCACTGCAGGCGGGCGGTAAGGAGCGAGGGGTTCTGGACTGCGAGAGCCCCAGACTGCAGAAGGGCGCAGGCTGGGCTGAGGAGACGAGCGCGCGCACACACACACACACACACACACACACACCAGTGCACAAATTTTGTGCACTGGGCCTCTAGTTAATATATGTCTACACATTGAGTATTACAGTGCTGTAAAGCATCTATACAGGCATACAAACAGTGTAAAGACAGGCAGAAAAAATAAAAGTAGGTGCTAGTTGATGAAATTTTTTATATTCCAGCTATTGTAACAGTGTTTGTAAAACTTATCAAAAGGTCATTACGTTGGTGAAAATAAATGCAAATAGTTGGTAGCAATTACCATTAACCTCTCTTCTCCCACCTCAGCAGCACCTCCTCC